TCCAACCTAATAGCAATGGCCTCCACCCTAATCGGGATGGCCTCCAGCTTAATAGCGATGGCCTCCAACCTTTTACTACCAATGGGCTCCAACCTGACAGCGATGGCCTCCAAACCTAATAGCGCTGGATGCCCGGAGCCTTGCGGCCACGCAACTGGTGGGAAGAAGAACACTTGCGCAGCTCCACTCCTAGATTTATCGTGCTTCCGTGCCTGGCCATCCCGAACTTGAAGGTTCAACCTTCAATCACAAGTGAAAAGCCAATGATCGAAGCAGCTTGCTTTGGCACACGTGGTTTATCAATCGTTTATTCTAAAGATTGTGATCGGTGTTGGTTTGCATTGAGAGGAACCTCAAAGTTGAATCAAAGGTTAAGCAGGCCCATGAGACTCAAAGTAGATCGGATGGCAACCGATCAAGGGCCTCATTGGTCCGTTTGCGTCCCACCTCGTCGCAGGTGAGTGAAGATCTTTCTGATCCCGATTTCTCGAGTCTCGAGGTGGACGGATGTAGACTAGTAACAAGTGCCACGCTAGTAGTAACAGGTGCCACGCTAGTAGTAACAGGTGCCTTACTAGTAGTAACAATGTTTGCTACTAGTAACAAGTGCCACCCCAGGGATGTAGACTGCAATGATCATGTTTTTCCGATGGCTTGAAACAAGTTGAACTCAACAGATGGTCTCAAGGTGAAAGTGTCAGTCCTCCTCATCTCCTTGATAAACAAAAGGAGCCCAAACACTTCCTTTTTGTCCTCGCTTGTTTGTAGACAAAATGCAAGTCGAAATCCAAGCGTTTTGAGATCTTCGAAAGGCTTTCCTTGCGATAAATGGCTTGAAGGTTTCCTTTTTGGCCTCCCACCTTAAGGCCTTACCCAGGCTAGCCATGCTTCGGTCCAGCTTTCGTGAATTTGTTAGGCTTCACCTCGACCTATGGTGAGGCCAGTTCGGCATTCCGAAAGTCCTTATAAGGCAAGCGTTTAGGTCATTCGATAGCAAGCTCTCTTTATGCAAAACTTGTCGTTCAAGGTGGTTTGTTTTCTTTAGTTTTCATTGGTTTCATTGTTTTTTTTGCGATTGGCAAGGATTTTTCTGGTCAAGTTTTTCCAGTGCATGTGACACATGGGGTGGGTAGCTTGCAGGTTCCGATAAGTGCCCGGAGCCCCAACCCAACGAGTTTGTTCAGCTCGCAAAGTATCACAAAGACTTGTCTTCCGGACGCTTCGAATGGTGTTGGTTATTACGCGACACCAAGTCTGGCAGGGTATGGGCTATAGAAAATAGGGAAAGAAAATGATGCTTCATCATCAAACCCATATGTTTTTTCCTCGCAGCCCATGCCAACTTACTGTAATAGGTTTCAATAAATGTCGGGCTCAGAGCATAAGAACAGGCTTGCACCATAAGACACAATGGGAAATTTTGAGAAACTTGCAGAGTATGAGAGTGAAGGGATTGCCTACATTGTTTACATGATGTGTTTGAGTTCGGAGAGGAGCGATTGGATATGCGAGAAAACTGTAATACATCCGTTAGAACTGCACAGATTGCCAGGTTTTGATGACTATTAGGTTGGAGGCCATCGCTACTAGGTTGAACGCCATTGCTACCTGGTTGGAGACCATCGCTACTGGTTTGTAGGCCATTGCTGTTAGGAAGAGACTCCTAATTATATCTAATTTTTGATTGGATTGAGAAGATGAGTGACCGTGAGCTGTAGTGGGTCTGTTTTGAAAGCTCCAGGTGGCGGTGAGGCCTCACATTGAAATTAATAAGTAGAGTATGGCAGAGCTGGCTAAGCCAGCGAAGCTCAGGCAAAGATTTCTGGCATGATAGTGCAAAAGCAGCTATCAGCATGACGGCCTTAGAGCCCTCTTGTAGAAGCTTCCGTCATTGTCTTTCGCTTTATTAGGTTAGAGGCCTTTGTTCGTAGGTTGGAGGCCATCGCTATTAGGTTGGAGGCCATTTCTATTTGGTTGGAGGCCATTGCTATCAGGTTGGAGGCTATTGCTCTTAAGGTTGGGCCATCGCTTGTAGGTTGGAGACCATTGCAATTAGATGGGAGGCCATCGGTCTCAGGTTGGAGGCCATTGTTACTAGCTCATTGTCTTTCGCTTCAACTTGAGGGCGGCTGGCCGCCTTGAGGCTTGCAGAAAGCCTCATTTTATCTCGGCAAAGTCTTTTCCAGCGCCATGGTGGTTGCCATGGTTTTGGATTGACTCACACAGTGAAGAGAGCACGGGAAGCACATTGAAATAAGAAAAATAGGAAAAACATACAAATGAAGAAAGAAAGAGAACGTCTTTTCTCAATAGACTTCTATCCTTTTTGCACACGTTCATCTTCACCCAAAAAACAGCCCTGAAGAAATGAGCCAAAGGTGGCGTGGGGCCAATCATGTGGAAAGAGATGGAAACAGAAGGTTTAAAGATGGTTCAAAAGGGTAAGTTTCCCTAAAAGTTTAGGAACCACGTGAATAGTGCGAGCGCTTCTTCAAGGAAGCTTCCCCCCACAGCCTTTAGGGCGGCGGGGGGAGCTTCCTTGAAGAGGCGTGAGCTATCCTGCGTCCAGTTACTACAAGTGAAGTTAGCCTAGTAGCGTGTGAACTCCCTTAATCAAGCAGGGAGGCGGGGCCCCTAGTAGCGTCCTCGATGCCCTTTGCTCCTAGTAGCGTCCTTTGCTCCTAGTAGTAAGGCCAGGAGCCCCCTAGTAGACAATGACGTTCCAAGTTCGGGTCCTGTGTGGACTCTGAAGGCGCTCAGGCTTTGCCCAGCGGCGGTGCTTGGCCGTTGGGCCACTCATCGCGCCGCGGAGCTCGGAGAACGATCCCACGACCCGCGTGGAGCGAAAAAGGGAATCTGGTCGGTGAGCAGAAGCGGCCATGGCGGTTCTAGGAATGGCCTCCAACCGATAAGGTTCTATACTATACATGCAGAAATCCACCAGAAGGTGGTTTATGCTAAACCATCCAGAGATGGTCGACAACTCGCACCTTTTGAAGCGCCCGAAAGTCAAAGGTAGACCACTCACACGGCCGCCACAACGACTCCATCCCAAAGGGGATGTGTCCTTGCTGAAGTCTGTCAAGACACTTCTGCCATCATTGCTTTGTCTCGCCAATTTGTCCAGCAAAAGGAAGACGCCATGAGTCAATGTTGTGTTTATTTTTGGAAAAATCCTCCAACCCCTCTTTGTTTGCCTCTCGCTATATCTATCTATCTCTCTATCTAATCTCTATCTCTATCTAATCTCTATCTCTATCTAATCGCTATCTCTGTCTAATATCTATCTATCTATCTCTATCTCTATCTCTATCTCTATCTCTTTCTCTATCTCTATCTCTATCTCTATCTCTATCTCTACCTACCTACCTACCTATCGATCTTCTATCGATCTATCAATCTATCGATCGATCTATCTATCGATCTATCTAGCGATCTATCTATCTATCGATCTTTCTTTCTTTATTATCCATCTATCGTGTTTTTCTTATCTGTCTATCTACCTATCTATCTTATCTATCTTATCTATCCTACCTATCCTACCTATCCTATCTATCCTATCTATCCTATCCTATCTATCCTATCCTATCTATCCATCTATCCATCTATCCATCCACCTATCTATCTATCTATCCACGATCTATATTTTGATCTATCTATCGATCTATCTTTATTTCTTTATTTATTTATTTGTATTTTTATGTTTCTCATCTATCTATCTACCTATCTATCCTATCCTATCTATCCTATCCTATCTATCCTATCCTAT